CCCGAGACATGTTCCCTTCGGACAACAACAAGAGTAGTACTGATCTCGAAAACCCGCTGGAAACAAACCCAATATTTTTCTCCAATTTCCCCTCCCCTTTTCTGGACGAGGAACTCCCCCTCAACCAAATCCTCCACTCCAACAAACCCGACCCGAATCCAGGACCCGACCCGGCCAAAAAGCTGAAATCGAAGGCCAATGACAGAAGGAAACGGAGCGGGAAAAAAGACCGTCACAGCAAGATTTGCACGGCCCAAGGGATTAGAGACCGGCGGATGAGGCTTTCCCTCCAGGTGGCGCGTAAGTTTTTCGATCTCCAAGATATTCTAGGCTACGACAAGGCCAGCTGCACCATCGAGTGGCTTTTCAGTAAATCCAACACGGCAATACGAGAACTCATCACCCAAAAACAAAATAATAATTTAAATTTCTCCGAGTCGTACTCGGAGTGCGAGGTGGTATCAGGTGTTCATGAGGTGAGCTCCAAGGAAGAAGTATTAAATAACACAAAAAGGAAAGTGGTTCAAGTTCAGGCTCGTAGCACACGAGAGGCTAGGGAAAAGGCTAGGGCTCGGGCAAGATGGAGGACAAAGGAGAAGATGATGATTAGGCGGAGGCTCCAGATCATGAATAACTCCTCCCAATTATTCTCCACCCCTAATTGTTATCATCAAACTGAAAATGTGGAGGAGAAATTAGGGTTTTCGGCCGAATACCACGATGCTGGGACGATTGAAAAATTGTTGGGAAATTCGGGATTCTCGATTTCCAACTATGCTTGCCCGGACGAAAATGTTTATGAGAGTTATTGCAGAGATGGGTTTTTGGGTAATTGGCAAGTGTTGGGGAATAATAATAATAATAATAATGTTGACAGAATATTTGACTGCAGCGTCACAAATGAAGGCTCGTCGATGGCAAGCAATGTAAGTCCGGGCTCGGCCCAGAATTTTCTCTTCTTTCATCAATAATTGCAGTAATTTAATTGTTGGGTTTTGATTTTCTGGAATTTCGTCGGCATTGATTTTTATCAGGTATGTGTGTTTGTGTCTGTGTGTGTAAACTAGCTTTGGTTTGGTCGTGGAATTTGAATTTGAGGAAAGTTTAATTAGTCAAGCCCTAGCTACCCATCTTTCATGTATTTCTGTATGGACTCGAGTTGATTTAACGTGAATAAATAAGATGATGTTGTACTCGATGTTAGATCCGCCTATATTATATTGTTAGTGTTACTTACATATATATATGTGTGTTTTAGTTCTCGTGTGTAGTACTGTCTACAAATCTAAATTGAAGGAAGCTTTTGCATATATATATATATATATGTGTGTGTGTGTGGCTGTTTCTGTAGGTTTTTTAGGATTTATTAAATCAACTCATCCTGACCATAATCTCAAGGTAGTGAGTTGATTAATTAGTTGCAGAATAACTGCAAATGTTGGCTTTAAAGTCATGGTTAAAGAGTTGGTAATTTCTTGCACATATATGATCTGAAACAAATGAGAATATTTCTGTAAAGTGAACTTGTCAAGTGAAAAGTAAATAAATTGAGATAATGATCAACTGAGTACATCATAAAAGAATGCTCTCATGCATATATCTCAGTTGTGCAATAAGATTAACAGAAAGAAAAAAAAGGTAAACCATACAAATCTTTCTCTAATGTACAAGAAAAAACAAAGGCATGGATGTAATGTAATGTAATGACAGCTGCATATTGAACATTTCATGAGAGCAATATTAATGAATTTCACAATAATATTAATCAACCTCGCTCACAACGTATATATGAACTTGGGATAGATAAGTACCTTTGATGATAGGCTATGAGAATTACTTGGCCAAAAATTCGAAGAATCTGCTTTCCCGGGATGCTCATCAGATCAGGCCATGCTAGCTTAGATTAGCTAGCAGGTTCGTTTCTTGCTTTGAATTTGCATTTGATTTTATATATGGTACAACAATATATAATTTGTTTTAACCGCTATGTTCACTAATTTCTTCTAACAACCAACATTGAGTAATTAGTTAATAACTTGAACTGCCTCTGGATACAGTTATCAATAGATTGGGTTTAATGCAGTAGATAGGGGATATGATGTCTACATTGGCGTTAACGTTCCAAAACTTTGAATTTCGAAATATAAGAAAATGGATTAAATGAAATTACAACTATTAAGTACGCATGGATATATAATATTGATTGTCAGAATCATTTTCTTTTGTTCCCCTTTTATTTTAATGGATATTTCGGTGCATAAAACTTCCATTCGGTGACAAAAGTGTACTTGTAAATGGATAAATTACAAAATACCACAACAATTTCAATTATGCAAAATAAACAGGTTTTGATTGGATACGATGTAAAAGACATTTTATTTTATTGGAGAAAATCTCACCTTATATATAATTTCAAATTTCAGAATGCGCTGAGCCTAGGTGGTATGTTTGCACGCTTCGAAAACCTATGTGGCAAATTTTCATGATTTGTAGTTTGACTTGGATGAATTTTAGTTTATTTACAATCCAAAAATAATTAGCCTTTGTTTATGAACCTTTTTCAGAACAATAATCATGTTTTAATATTATTTTCTATTTTAGACTTAGTTTATAAATGCATAATATTTTTCTCCTATCTTTCTTTTTTCTTAATCTTTCTTTTATAATTATAAAAAATTTACAAACGTAAATTATAAATATATTTAAAAGCTAATAACTTTTTATTTATTATCAATTTTTTCATACGTAATATATCAAATTAGTCATGTTTTTGTGTGCTTCAATTTGACATTTATATTGTACATAAAAATAAATAAATAAATTAGTCATGCACTTATATTTATTTTACTATTTTCACAATATATGTAGATATTAATCATCACATTGTTTTTCTTATTATCAACATAGTTTTCAAATTTATTTGGTTACTATTCAAAAACTAATGATCAATGGAATACGCGAATGTAAAAATGAAAAGAAAAAAGAACAATTCAAACTAATAAATAGTCTTAAGTCGTGGGTTGATGCATTAGTTGTATTCTTTAATCTATTTCCTTAAATACAAAACTAACTAGTAGAAAATAAATTCTTATATCAGCAGCAATATTGATGTGAGAATGAGGAAGTGAACTATATATTATTAAAAATCGTTAGATTTTGATATCAATGAAGGTAATATATGCTATTGTCTATTGACATGAATATGATATCATAATGATCAATGAGCCTCTCATTAGTTTGCTACTGGTGAAACGGTATTCAAGAATTTAATGGTGCAGTCCGAAAAATTTAATTTTTCAACTACAGATATATGCATACTCATGTATTACAGGATCAGGAGTTTAATTCTCTCACTTTAATTTGTTCACTTACCTGATAGAAATAAATTGTTGAATCTTATTGCCCTAGTAAATAATAAATAATCAACATATAACATAAAATGTAATTAAGAAAAATGTAGGTCATCAATTGGTTCGATCATGTATATAACGGATTTTGTAGTAATAATAAATGCAGTCTACAAAAGACAAAATAATCTTGTGGGCAATGATTTTCGATACCTTATTTTACATATGTAGTCTTAAATGTGGATAGTAATTGAATAAATGCAATAGTCGCCAAATCCAGGTCCGGATTTATTGCGACACAGTTTTTATCTCACTGCAAAACAAACTTTACGGTTAAGCTAACTGTCACGAAGCAATACTTTAACAACACAAATAACATGCGTGAGACAATTTAACGGGTAGACGATTCCATATAATATATTTTTTTAATAAAAATATATATTCCTAGTATAACATATCATATTTTTATTTATGTTGTTTTCTATAATATGTTATTTCAAATTTTAAGTATGAATATCTCACATAAAACAAGGCTAAATTGTAAAATATAATCAGCATCTTGTACGCGGTGGCAATAATAGCCACCATAATTACGAGTTGTCAACATTAGCCAACAACTTTCAAAATTTCGAGATTATTACCCGAATCCAACCAAATTCGAGAAATAAATTGCAAATAGCCAGTATTTTTCTACGCAGTGACAACAATAGCAATCGAATTTGGTCGGACATGGGTAATAACCCCAAAATTTTAAAAATTATTGACTAATATTGCCAATCCGTAGATGGTAGCTAATATTGCTACAACGTACAAGATACTGACTATATTTTGCAATTAAACCCCATAAAACAATTAACAAGCACAAATGCAATTCTTTAAAACTTATATATATTGGTGCAGAAAATTCAGAATACATAGTGGGGTTTTAGGTATGATGGGAATCAAATGAAAATGCAGAATTACAAAAATGAAATATGGAGGCCATATGCGAAACTTTATGTATCATGAGTGAGGTACTGAGCCGAAAGTCTTTGTCAAGCTTTAGAAAAACAGGACTTATTGGACTGTAGAGTTCTAATCCAAGTGGAAAAGGCATTTTAAAAGTCATATAAATCTCAAACCCTATCTATTAATATAGCTGATTTTTATATTTGAGGAAACACATCGTCCGTTCACCGAATCATTGTATATTTTCAAGTGAAACCAAAAACAGGTCCCGAACATTGGAAAAACAGGGAATTTTATGCAAACATTAAGATATAATTTAAAAAGTCTTAATAGCCCGTGAATCTAGATTAATTACTCAATGGATAAAAAATTGACACATTTAATCGAATTACGGTATTCTATAAATTGATACTTGGTAGAATCCTGCATTTATATATAAAAGTAATATATGTTGCAAAATTATATATAGAAAAGTCTAGATTATGTATAAGAAAGGGTAACTGTTGAGAAATATGACAACCAATCAACAACTTTAATTAATATAAATATCCCAAAATCTTGATTCTTGAGTTACTAGCCACAAACCTCATATCCCTGGTAATCACCATTAGATTGGATAAGCTAGCTAGCCTCGTACTTGTATCAAAATCAGACTCACGCACCAGTTTGAAAACTAATGATATCTGACTAATATGAGACTAAATCATTTCAAATCCTATCAATAAAGTACAAGAGATCACTATCCCTCATAATTTGTAATTCAATTATTTATTTAGTACTTCATTTATTCGAAATGACAGAAAACAGAAAAAATGGGTGGCATTTGTACGTCAGACAATGGATTTTAACATCACTCGTGTGGCTTTCAGTTTACTGCAGATAATTAAGAAATCTTTTCATATAATTATACATCAAATAGAGGACAATCACTGTCTTATTCCTCATGTTCCATCATATCAACTCGGTTCCAATCATCAAATATTGTTTCCAATTCACTTAGCTAGCTAATGTTGTTTTTAGGATAAGCTGATATCATTACACAAATGAATCTCATGAATGTATCATAACATAAGGTCATACTCTTAAAGAAGTGATTCTTTTGGTACTATTTATATTTTTCACTTCGAAAAGTATGAATTCATTTATATTTATTAATTAATACATAGGTTGACTAACATATTACTCCAATGCAATGAATACACAAGATAAACACATAATAAAGCAAGAATTTGAACCAAATTTTTTTTAAATCATCTATGTTAGGTTGACTAACATATTACTCCAACAAATATATATAATTTCATACTCGACCGTCAGACTTTAAAATACTAACACAAATAAAAGTATGACATTTTTTTGTAAAAAAATATGGTTGTTCATGGAGACGAGATTTCGTTGGCTTTTCACGACAAGCATGGCCTGCCAGCTTTAGTCTAGTTATTATTTATTCTTTTTACTTTATTATTATTATTTTAGTCATTTACTTAGGGTTTAATGCACCAAACCCCCCATGTATTATACGAAATATGCGTGTTTTCCCATGCTATTTTAAAAATTGCGTCAGACCCCCTTGTATTTAACTATAAGCTGCACATGCTCCCTTTTTTCCATTTTTCATTTAACGGTGTTAGTATTTTTTAAAAACCCCGTTATACCCTCTGAATATTATATATATA